GGGAGGGCAGCCACTGAAGGTTAATGTGGCCTGTAATGATGCCACCCAAGGGGGTCCGATGGCTCCGAGGGTGGGGCAGCAGCCTAAGTAAAGGAGTAAATATTCTTTCTTCAAAAAAGAACTTAGGGCCGGGCGCGGTGGCTCATGCCTGTAATCCTAGCTCTCTGGGAGGCCAAGGCGGGTGGATTGTTTGAGCTCAGGAGTTCGAAACCAGCCTGAGCAAGAGGGAGACCCCGTCTCTACTAAAAATAGAAAGAAATTAATCAGACAACTAAAAATATATAGAAAAAATAGCCGGGCATGGTGGCGCATGCCTGTAGTCCCAGCTACTCGGGAGGCTGAGGCAGGAGGATCGCCTGAGCCCAGGAGTTTGAGGTTGCTGTGAGCTAGGCTGACGCCACGGCACTCACTCTAGCCCGGGCAAAAGAGTGAGACTCTGTCTCAAAAAAAAAAAAAAAGAAGAAGAACTTAGACTTTATTGTTTCTGAAAAACCTAATATTTGTATTTGGGAGATGTGCTGACTTTAATAGGTCAACCCTAAAAGAATGGGGAGGTCTGAGGCTCTGGGAGTGCTTGCGTGGTTTATTCATTCCTTCTCTCCGCCATCCTTTGTAGCACACCTGTCTTTGTAACCAGCAGGTGTCAGAGCCACCAGGCAGGAGGCTGAGGGCACCGCTTTCTGTCCGTGGGAGCTTGAGCAAGCCCTTGCCCTGCTGCGTCTGCCCGTCCTTGTCTGCAAAGCAGAGGCAATGGTGAGAACGCGGACACCTTGTCTTGCACCGCAGGATCCCTTACCAAGGGGTTTTACATCCCGTTTCCTATAAGGAGCCCAATACCCAGTGAGGTAGGTGAAATTGGAGGAGGAAACCTGGAGGGAGGAGTGATTCTCTAACTCCCAGTCATGTGTGGCCTAATAAGCCTTGACCTATGTCTCCAGCCTCCAAGTTCGGTGCTCATCTCAGCGGCGGGGGCGGGAGGCGGCTCCTCTGGGCTGTGGGAGGTGAACTGTGTACATGCCGTGCTGGCTGCTCTCTGGGCATTTTTTCCACGGACCCCTGCAGTGGAAAGTACTAGTCCCATTGCACTGGTTACGAAACTGAGCCTCCAAGACATAAAGTGATTTGTCCCAGGGACCCCAGTGTGCAGGGTCATAACCAGGGCTCAAATCCAGGCTCCAAACTCCAAAGCCCTCGCTTCTATCCCGCCGCAGTTGTCTCCCTGGACCTTTGGGTGTAGTTGCAAACAGTGGGTCTTCCCAGCTCAGAGCAGAGTGGACGGGGGGAGAGGGCATCTCCAGAAAGCTGCGCTGTCAGAGTCTAGCAGTGACACCCAGCAGACACCTGCATACGTGTGCATCTGGTGCCAGATGGACAGCGATCACCTCCAGCAGACCGGAGCTAGGCAGTGAATGCAGGACTGTATCCCCAGGGCCGTCGCCCTATTGCGGAGGAGCGTGGGGACTGATGAAAGGCTCACCCTGAGTTGTGAGGAAAGCTGACATGACTTTTCAGAATGGCGTGTTTAGGAAGGCTGGGAAGTCTCTGGTCCAGCTGAGAAGCATCCCATCCATAATTAGCTTGAGAGATGCAGTTCCGCAGAAGCGAGGAGGGCAGAAAGTCGCTGCCAGTAATCTATACTGAGCTTTTAATTGGGCCCTGCGCTGACCTAAGCACACGCAGCTAGAAGGCCCTACACTTCCCCAGAACAAAGGGAAGAGATTGCCATTAGGCCACAGAACAGAGTGCAGGCCTTGGAGTCCAACCCTGGCTCATCAGTAACGCTGGACAAGTTACAGCGGGGACTCTGGAATGGACTTTGTATTTCCCAAAGCCCCCAAGCATCTAGGGCCTACCTGGGGTGTCCCAAGAACTGCACCTACTGTCCCTCTTTCCCCTGCCTGTAGGCATGGTGACCCCAATGTCCCATAATGACTCCACTCTGCCTTTCTCCATCCCTGCCGCTTTATATACTCTCAGTGCGCAGCTCCTGGTCTACTCTCTGTCCGTTACACACACACACACACACACACACACACACACACACACGTACACCCAAGGAATGGCTCCCGGGTGCCAACAGTTCCCGTACTCTCTGGTGGGAGAGTGTGCTTGCAAGTGCTGTGTGTGGTGACAAGCCCGAAGCAGCCTTTCCAACCCATGCAAACTAGACACAGGCAGAGAGCACAGGCCTGTGGGGCAGGTGTTCTGACGCGCAGCACGAAGGTCTTGGTTAGGAAGACACCGGGCTGCAAGTAACCCTCTACCCAGCTGTAGTGGCTCCAACCAGCGGGGGCTTGTTTTTCTTGCACAAGAAGTCTGGAGGACAGCGGTCTCACCGCTAGTGTGGGTAACCAAAAATGCCATCAGGGACCTAGATTCTTTCCTTGCGCTGCTGGGGCTGGGCGGTGTGTTGAAGCACACACGCGCCCATGTGCTCACACAAGCTGTGGAACAAAGACATGTGGCTGGGACTGGAGAGATCTGGGCCCCCTCTTGGGCTCTGCTGCTAACTAGCTATGCAACTTCAGACAAGTCACTTCATCTCTTTGTTTCATTTATTTTTAAAATTGTGGCAAAATACACATAAAATTTACTGTCTAACCATTTTTAAGTGTACAGTTCAGTGGCGTTGAGTACATACACACTGCAGTGCAATTCATCTCTGTAAGTCTTTTATCTTCGCAAGCTGATACTCAGCCCATTAAATAAGAACTCCTCGTTCCCGTCTCCCCCAGCCCCAGCAACCACCATTTCACTTTCTATCTCTATGAATTTGACTACTCCAGGTAACTTATGTAAGTGGGATCATACAGAATTTGTCCTTTTGTGACTGGCTTGTTTCCCTTACCATAGTGTCCTCGAGGTTCATCCATGTTGTAGCATGTGTCAGAATTTCCTTCCTTTTTAAGGCTGAACAATGGTCCATTGCATGGACAAGGCACAATTTGTTTACTCATTCGTGGATGGACGTGGGTCACTTTCACAGTTTAACTACTGTGAATAGTGCTGCTACGAACATGGGTGTGCAAATATTTGACACCGTGTTTTCATTTCTTTTGGGTGTCTACCCAGAATTGGAATTGCTGGATCACACAGGAATTTTATTTGCGATTTCTCAAGAAACACCGCACTATTTTGCACAGCAGCTGCACCATTTTACATTCCCACCAGTAGCACACAAAAGTTCTAATTTCTCCACATTCTTGCCAACACCTATTATTTTCTGTGTAGGACTATTTTATTTCCAGCTTCTGATGTCTTGTGGTGGCCTTGCTTCTTTTTTTAAAATGTTTTTTCTTTTTCTTTTCTTTTTTTTTTTTTCGCTTTAGAGACAGGGTCTTACTCTGTTTCCCAGGCTGGAGTGCAGTGGTATGATCACAGCTCACTGCAACCTTGAACTCCTGGGCTCAGGTGTTCCCACCTTAGCCTCCTGAGTAGCTGGGTCTACAAGTACATGCCAAAACTCCTGGCTAACTGTCAAAATTTTTGTAGAGATGGGGGTCTCAATATGTTGCCCAGGCTGGTCTCGAACTCCTGACCTCAAGCAGTCCTCCCACCCTGGCCTCCCAGAGTGCTGGGATTATAGGTATGCACTCCTCCCAGGCTGGAGTGCAGTGGCTATGCACAGGCAAGATCATGGCCCACTATGGTCTCAAACTCTTGCGTTCAAGTGATCCTCCCACCTCAGCCTCCAGAGTAGCTGGGATTATAGGCCAGGCTTAATATTTTAAATAGAGTCACTCTTGGCCCCTTGAGCACTCCCCGCTGAGTGTGAGATGGGAGCCCTGACTGTATCTTAGTCCTCAGGTGTTTTTATATCAGGAGCATCTGGCCTCTCTGGGAGTGATTCAGGTGTTTAAAGATATATATCTTTCATGGAGCAGGAAATGACTCAGACATAGCAAGAGGGTTGCAAGACGGCTGGCGGACCAAAGTGAAACCATGACATACCCACCCACCGTAAGGGCTTACCTGTTACCAAAGCTTTAGGAACTGCGTTCGAATCCCAGCTGTTACTAACCAACCTGGGTACTTTGGCCAAGTCTCTGCAGCCTCCTAGACTTAAGATTGCATGGTGTATCTGTCCATCTTATAGGGTTACCCTGTGGCTAAATGAGGTAACAAACGTAAGGTATCCACAAGGTAGACTCTCAGTTCATGTTACCCCATCCCACACCGCTCTCCCTCCTTGGAACCCCGCACCATGGATTCCATCCACCACTGGCCAGGTGCTGAGCAGAGGCACTGAGCACACAAAGAGGTTAGTGGGCAAGGCAGGCCCCCAAGGGAGGTAGCATGTCCAGTGTTCCAGCCTGCAGGCGTCTACCAAGCCTAGCCCCAGGGTGGCACCCAGGGATGATGCTTCCAGCCTTCCAGCAGCTACACGCTGGCTATAAGAGCCTGGTTATAAATCCCCTACAGGTTCCCCACCCTCACCCACTTTGTACCACCTTCGTTATTGCACTCTTCCATCCGGATGGCATTTAGCTGGGTCTGGGTTTGTCACACTCCTGATCGCCAGCACTTTGAGGGCAAGAGGCGCCTGTGGCCCCCGGGATCCGTGCCCAGGCCCTGCCTGCCCAGAGCCAGAGGCAGGAAGGTCACAGTTAAGGATGCAGGAGCCGGGCTCCTTCCCGAAGCCCGGGTCCTATGGCTCCATTAGGTGCAGCACAGTCCCGGAGGTGCGACCTCAACTCTTACACACAGTAGGCGCTCTACCTGTAATGCAGCCAACCCAGATCCATATTCTGTAAATGCCAACTCAGCAGTCGGGCTCGTGCTGCCGCCCAGGGCCGTTTCCCGGCTCTTTCGCTGGTGCCCACGCGCTACGTACAGTGGGAACCTGCCGCCCCTGGAGCCAGCGGAGACCCAGCCGGCCCTTCCCAGCCCTCGGCACCGCCCCCTCCGCGGGGACGAGGCCAAGTCGCCCCTAGCAACAGCGGTCCGGCCGGCTTTCTCGGGCCACGCTGATTGGCGGAACTCCGGGAGGCGGCGAAGCCGTCACTTCCTGTATCCGGAGGCCCCAGAGGAAACCGAGGGGCGGCCATCTTGGGTCCGTGAGGCTCGGGGGTGCCGGGAGCAGCGGCGTCTGCAACCACCAGGGCGGAGGCTGAGGCGGAAAGCAAGCCGGAGAGGGAAAAGCAGCCGCGCGCAGGCGCCTCCTCCACAGCCCCCTCCATGGTCGGCGCTCGCAGCCCGCGGCGGCCTGTCTTGCGCTCCACCTCTTCCACATCCTTCTCCTCTTCAGGGGCCGCCGGCGGCGCTGTGTGGAGGCCCCGGAGCTGAGATCCGTGGCGCGACGGGCGGGAGCGGAGGAGGAGGCGTGGGGGCGCGGGCTCGCGGGGCGCCCTGAGGCGAGGGGACGCCGGCGGGCCGACCCGCAGCCCGCAGCCCGCCGGCCCGGCCCCGCCACCGCCGCCCGCCGGGGCTCCTCGCCGCGGCCGCCGGGGCAGGAGGAGAATGGGCCCCGGGACCTGCCGGGGGACGGCCCGGGCCAGGCCCGGGATCTAGACGGCTGTAGGGGGAGGGGATCCGCCCTCCCCACGGCACCGCACCAGAGCCGCTGGGGACTCGAAGACGCAGGTCGCCGGCCTCCTAGGGCTGTGCTGTTTGATTTTCAGCCTCGCATTGTGCAGAATTAAAGTGCAGTAAAATGTCCACTAGGACCCCATTGCCAACAGTGAATGAACGAGACACTGAAAACGTAAGTAACCTGGGCGTGCTCGTTGGCAGACCTTCAGGGTGGCCTTCGTTCTCCTCGGGCTGTGTCTGGCAGTCGGGCGTTCCGCTTCCCCCGAACGCTCTGGAAATAGAGGGCAGGCTGTAGCCACCCGAGAGGCAGCCCGGAGGGACCGTTTACTCCAGAAGGCAGCCCTGTCCCGCCGCTCGCGTGCGGTGTGCGAAGTGTATTGGTTATGCCGGCAGTCTGCTTTCTTAATAAAGCCCCTAAGTTGCGGCGTTGCCGTGCAGTGGGTCATCCAGGTGGGCGTCAGATCACTGCAGTGGTCGGCGCTCATTTTAACCAGGATCTCCTTTTTAATTGATCAGGTAGTTCTCGAGAGGCTGTCAGGTTAAAAAACATACGTTCTTGGTGCTAAGAGACACCAGTTGGGCCTAGTAAACTTTCTGTAAAGGGCATTTGTTTAAAATGGTGTGGAATTAAATTTAATGACAGTCACTAAAAACTAAGTGCCCACTGAGGGGTCTTTGCGGTCCCCTTAGGAACTCCACAGCTCTACTCAGAGGAGCTCTCCAAGAGAGCGCAGCCTTTTTTAGGGAGCAGCTTCCTTTCCATGCAAATCTGTCTTGAAGGAGCTGGATAAGCGTTTTGAAAGATGTAGAGTGAAGCTGTGCTCTGCCACTCACTGCCTAGCCAAGGGACACCCCCTCGGGGCTCTGCTTTCCTCCTTCCTAAAAAGAAGTTGGCTTAGATGAACTCTTAGGTCCCATCCAGCGCTCACATCCTATGATTTTATGAAAGGAACCTTTGATTTTGTTCATGTGGACCTTTAAAAAAATGTCAGGGACAGCATTGTTAGGAAATGACAACTTGTAGAAACTTCATTGAAGAAATGTTTTGACTCTGTGCAAGTGTTTTGTGAACACTCTAGCACTGGGTTCAGAAGTGTTCCAGTCTAGTTGTTGGTTATCTTCTGTAAAACATCTAGCAAACAACTTGCGAAGAAACTTCACTGGCCTTTGATTATAAGTGTTAAGAGGTAATTGCTGGCAAGAACATAACATCTCTTAGGAAAGGCTTCCTTGCTCTGTGTGTTTTCATGCTTTCAATAATGTCTTGAGACACTGTGTCCTAGTGGTATGAAATGCCTTCATTTTAATCTTCAACATGCCTCTTGTTTGCTGATAGCTGTCAGGTGATTTAATCTGTTTATGTAAACCTTAGTCTAAAGTTTAGACTCTAAAGCATCCCTGTAATATATTCGTGTATAGGATTTAATGCTTCGTAAGTAAGTATCGTGGTATATGTTCTTCCACCTGAGATGGATTAGAAAATTATATAAAGAGTGAATGATAGAAAATCTTAAACTAGGTGAGTCGGTGAACTCATTTTCTTATAGCCCTTTTGAAGGAACCCATTTCTGACTTGATCATTTTTTTGTTCCTTGACTACCCAGAAGAATGGAACATGCAAAAAAGTGAGCTCATTATTTTTGATCATTGATTTTCACTCAGAGAAGCAAAACCTTACATTGAACCAGAGCAGGAGCTCCATACTTTCTAAACTGAAGCCCAAAACAATCATAGTAGACTTGTGTTAACAAAAGATTTCGAATGGATCTTCTTCCAATATATGTTTCAGTGAGGGACATTCAGAGAAGAAATGGGCTATTTTTGTTCAGGGATGCATGGCTGTGAATATTTGTGGTTGTTATTGACTAACTCGGCCCATTCCTGTTCTTTAGTTAATTTGTTGAATTATTTTGTAATATTTTTGTATGTCATTAGAAATTACTTTATTCTTTAAAAGCAACCTAAGGTACGAAGTATGCCTTTTCTTTGTTTTCGTGTAATGTATTTAAAATCGAATTTTTGACAATGTTAAGATCACAAGTTTATTGCATTATCATTGTGTTAATTCACCATGCCCTGTTCCATTTTTAACTGTTGTATGGGCATGTTCTGGAAGTGGCTGTGTATCTGTCACAGTGTGATGCCTTTTGTCGGTGTTACACCTCAGGCGTATATCGTGTTATTTACCTATCATTACTGCACCAATAAGTATTAGACTTAACTGCCAATTGAGTGGTAAGTGCACAAGAATGAATGGGAGCTCTTGTCTGTTGTGAAGCTCTTTTGTTAAAGTTAGGTTTATTGAGATATAACATTCACCCTTTAAGTATTGACAAAATGTATAGTCACATGATCACCATCACAATCAAGATGTAGAACATTTCCATCACGAGGAAGGTGGCTTGTAGCCCTTGACAGTCAGTCCCCTCTCCCTTCCCCAGCCCCTGTCAACTCCCTGATCTGTTTTCTGCCCCTGTGGTTTCTCCTTTTATAGAATGTTATGTAAATTCAGTCACATAGTATATAATGTTTTATGTGACTTCTTTCACTTAGCATAATGTTGAGATTTGTGTTTTTATGTGTATCAGTGGTTCGTTCCTTTTTTTTTTAACGGGGGTCTTGCTGTGTTGTCACAACTGGGAGGGTGGCAGTGGATTTTGCTGACCAGGAATGCTGCTAAACATTGTACACTACGCAGGACAGCCTCCCACTACAGAGAATCATCTGGCCTAAAACGTCAGTAGTGCCAGGGCTGAAAACCCTGGTATGTCGTGAGCCCCTATGTGCGCAACAGCTCAACGGCCAATCTTAGTTCATCTCTTCCGTCCCCCAAGAAGCAAATTCAGCAATACATCATATCATTTCCTCTCTAAAGTTTTTAGAAGAGATAAAGCCTCTTTTTAGAAAACATCAATACCTGGGTCATATTTTCTTAATATCAAATATTCAGATGATGTCTAAATTTCCTGATTTTGTCTGATTTTTTAAAACTTTGTTCAAATTAGAATCCAGCTTGTGGCCGGGTGCGGTGGCTCACGCCTGTAATGCTAGCACTCTGGGAGGCCGAGGCAGGTGGATCGCTCAAGGTCAGGCGTTCGAGACTCCGTCTGTACTAAAAAATGGAAAGAAATGATCTGGACAACTAAAAATATATATATAGAAAAATTAGCCGGGCATGGTGGCACATGCCTGTAGTCCCAGCTACTCGGGAGGCTGAGACAGAAGGATCGCTTGAGCCCAGGAGTTTGAGGTTGCTGTGAGATAGGCTGACGCCACGACACTCTAGCCTGGGCAGCAGAGTGAGACTCTGTCTCAAAAAAAAAAAAATTAGAATCCAGCTTGAATTCATACGTTACTGTTGGCAGATACGTAAAATAAGATGCTTTTTAAGGCAACAAGAAAGTTTGTGTTTTAGTTTATGTTCTACAGTTGACTTGAATGGAACCATGGACAAATCCTTTTCCTATACTGGCAAAATTAGAAATGTATTTTTCACTTAAATTTCAAAGCATATGATAACTTTGTAAGCCTGGGTTATTTGCCAAAGTACCAGAGGCCCCAGTGCTTTGCCAGTTACCTATTTAACAGCTCCTGATATTCCTGTATCACGTACTTAATTATTAATGCAGACAGTCAGCAAGATTCCTTACTTCTGTGAAATAGATAAACTGAAGGTATTATTGTCTAGCCAGACTGAATTAACCCGTTCAGCAAATTCGAGTGCCTACTGTGTATATGACACTGTCCTAGGTGCTATAGAGGATATATACTTGGGAAGCCTATCATTGCTACTCTGTAGAACTTCCCACTCCCTGCAGAACAAGCACGCTGAGCTTTGTGAAACTAGCCTGTAAACTCTCAAATTTAAGCAAGCATTAGAATCACCTGGTGGGTTGATAATAGCACTGATCGCTGGTCCCCACCCCTAGACCTTGATTGTGTAGTTGGGACCCCAGAGTTACATTTGTAACAAGTTCCCAGGTGATGTTGATGGTTCAGGACCAGGGACCACAGTTAAGAATCACTGCCTTAGTGTTCAGTGAAGTGTTGCTAACTAAGCTGTATTCCTTTTAGATTGTACTGTGACTACAGAGACATTTCTAATAGATTTAATGAAGTTTTCGGGTTCCATGAGTTTTTTAAAAACTAATTGTATGTTAAAAAAAATGCGGTTGTGGAAAATAAGAGTAGTTACCCATTTGTTGATCACTTACTATATACCAGGCAACAGTATATAGTATATCAGTATATAATATCTCTTTTAAAATATGTAATGTGATTTTATTTAATGTGCTTCTTAGCTTCCAGCACAACTATCCAATCTATTAAATCAAGCTGTTTGAGCTTTTTTTTTTTAAAAGTTGATTTGTAAAAGAATTCATATTTTATATTGGGTCACAGTGTTCCAGGAAAGATCTTATAGACTTCAATTTGCCCATCGTTTTCATCTTCTGAATGTAAATTACGTAAAGGTTGAAATTTGCGGGAAGCAAAACGTTGGTCATTTCAATTATTTATGTAGTTCATGATGTACATTGTAATTACTTATAAGAGACTTATATAGTGCATGATTTACATTGTAATTAGAGACTCATACACAGTCAAATATAAATTACCAGTATCTTTTGTCTTTGATTTCAAAGAGGATTGACTCACATCCATTTTAAAATTTCAAATTAAACCCGAAGGAGAAAATAAATTTCTTAGCTGGGAATCTTTAGTGTCTTATCTTACATAAGAGGTTAAAGAATGTGGAGTTGGAGTTGGTTTGCAAATAGTAATAGTAACTTTGTGCTGACCCTGTGCACCTGCCTGTACAGAGTAATGGGAGGGCGGAAGTTGGTACTGGAAGAAAAGGACTTTTTTTTTGGAGTCTAACTTTTTCTTCAACTTAGTTCTTTAGCACTGCACTCTAGCCACCTGAGCTACTCAGCCATGGTTAGTCTTACATACTCTCATGTAGACTAGGTAAGACATTGTTTCTGTGGGCTCTTGGAGTTCAAAGGTGAAGCTCAAACAAAGCAGATGTTTTGTCCGTATTTCTGGTTAATAGTTAGGCAGTTACTTTTGAATGGAGCCTAAGTATTGCGGGGTTTGTGTCATGGACATTTTACACAAAAATGTGTATTGGTAGAATTTAATATGGAATCTGAATAAGGTTCCACTTAATAACCCCATTCATTATGCGATCAGTACCTTTATGACGCATTGACTACATGGCAGATACTAGAATAGGAATCCTGGAGAGGAGTAGACCTTTCAGCTAACAGTTCACTAGCCAGAGGGATGATTCAAACTGTGGCAGGCATCCTTTGTTATTGAAGGCATTCCAGGCTGTTTTTCACAGCGTCTTTTCACATTGTGTCTCCACCTCTTTCCTCCCTTTCCTAACCCCTGCCTGTCCTCCCTTTCCTAGTCCCTGTCCTCCCTTTTTTAGTTTTTGCTTGGTTTTTTTTTCCTAGCTCCTGCTGCCTGTCCTCCCTTTCCTAGCCCCTACCTATCCTAGGCCTGCCAGTGGTACCTGCAGGCGTGTATTAGCTTTACTAGAGGAGTGGATTAAGGAGCTTACATTTTCTTCTCTGAAATCATCCAAAGAAGATTGCCATCTAGACATTTAAGATATTCAATGATAAAGAACCTTCCCCATACCATGGTGAAGTATTCCAACATTTTTCCCCATTTCTGTTAACTTAGTTCAGGTTCTTAACATGTATTTGCTGCTTATTACATAGTTCTACTTACTATTGCTGTGGAACAAACCACTCCACAATTTAGTGTAAAACAACAACCATTTTGTTATTGCTCACAGATTGTGTGTCAGGATTTCAAACAGGCTGGCTAATCTACTGTGTCTAGGACCTCAGTTGCAGGGGGCCTTGAAAGGACAGGGGGATTTGAACAACTGGGCTGGAGGCCCTACGTCATAGACCATTCCTTTGCTCACATATCTGGCACCTTGGCAGGTATAGTTAGAAGACTGGGACTCTTGGTCAGAGCGACTGTGCGCTCAGGGTGATTGCGCTTCTCCCATGGTGATTCCGTGTTCCATCAAACAAGGCAAAAGCTTCCTGCCTTTTATGATCTAGCTTCAGAAATCACGTCATGTTACTTCTGCCATTCTGTCTTGGCTAAAGCAGTCATGAGCTTACCCAAATTCAAGGGAAGGGGCCCACCTTCTTAATGGAAGGTGTGTCAGAGTCTTTGGGATCATGTCTTTAAGCCACCAAAATATTAATCGTGACCTTCTGGGTTTATAATTTGACACCTACCATTTTGTTGCGTGGGCTAGGGCAAGTTATCTAATTTTTTTGTGCCCTGGTTATCTCATCTATAAAACAAGGTAGGTAATAATAACAACCTCATAAGCCTATTAAAAGGACAAGGGCTTCCATCATCTGATCTCCTTTACCTCTTTGTCCTATCTCCTCTCTCCTACTCACTACACTGGTAGTCCCAGGTGTCTCCTTGCTGTTCTTGGAAAAACCAGGCCCACTCCAATCTCAGGGCCTTGGCACTCTTTGTTCTCTTTGCCTAGAGCACTTTTCTTCTAAATATCCACATGACTCATGCTCTCACCTCTTCATCTTGTTCAAATGTCACCTCAGTGAGGCATACTCTGATGCCCCATGGCCCTCCCAATCCCCTTAACCCTGATCTAATTTTTTTCCATTGCATTTGTTATCCTTTAACATACTATGTAATTTTAATGTTTATTGTGTTTTGTCAATTTTCCCTGTGATACTAAAAGCTCTATAAGAACAGGAATATGTGTTTTGTTTACTGATACTATTCCAAATATCTACAACATGCAAGTCATTTATTATAGGTGACCAATAAATATTGGTTGAATTACTGAGTGACTAAATGAGACAAATGGGTAAAGCATTTAGAAGAATACCCGACACATAGTAATACATAAATGTTAGTCATCGTCAGCATTAATGGTCTGTTACGGTCTTCTGATTTATCATTTCTATCCCTGTGTCCTCAGCCTCTCCCATCTATATAATTCATTACAGTGGGATTATCTTACTCCTTTTTTAAAAGCTTAGACTACTTTCTTAAAGGGAGATGTAGTGAAAAGAGTCTGGGCTTAGAAGTGAGAGTTAAAAATGGGAGCCTGGGAGAGGCATGGTGGCTCACTCACGCCTGTAATCTCGGCACTCTGGGAGGCTGAGAGGGAGGATCACTTGAGGCCAGGAGTTTGAGACCAGCCTGGGCAATAAGCGAGCCTCTTTCTCTGCAAAAAATAAAAAAAATTAGCTAGGCATGGTGGTGTGTGCCCCTGTGGTCCCAGCTACTTGGGAGGCTGAGGCAGGAGGATCACTTGAGCCCAGGAGTTTGAGGTTGCTGTGAGCTAGGGTGACACCACTGCACTCCAGCCTGGGCAACAGAGTGAGATACTATCTCAAAAAAAAAAAAAAAAAAAAAAAAAAAAAAAAAAAAACCAAGACACTTGATTTTCATTTTCTTTAACATGATTATATTACAAAGTAGTTTGTTAAGTTCACCAGCTGGATGAGGCTTGTTTTGACCTGTAGGTATAGAAAGTGACTGAAAGAAGGGACATTTTTCTGGATATAAAGGTGGAAAAGAGAAAACTATAAAGGAAGTTGAAAGCTGCTGTATGTGCATGTGGAGTGAGAAGCCCCCCGTGAGCAGGAGGTAACAGCCACAGCAGGGTGGGGAGTGGAGCATCTAATCCTTTGAGCACTTGCGGGGCCCGGGCCGAGGGAGCAGGAGCAGCAGGGTGTTTGTGCGTATGGAAGAGCACACAGTATGTACACAGAAGCACAGCTCTTGGACCTGAGCGTTTCATAGAGTTACAGGCATATATGGTTCGTTTTACCTTTGTTGAGCACATTGAGTGCTTTATTCATCTATTCAACAAATATTTATCAAGGGCCACACAGTCTAGCTGTTTCTTTAAGCACATTTTTTTGAATTATTAGCAGCATAATGTAGAAAGAATTTGGGAATGCAGATTTTCTTTGGATTTCTCACTAAATGGTTATGTGGCTGCATCCTCATCCGGGGAATATTGACAGCTGTTCTGCTGCTTTACGCCGTGGTGAGGGTCAGATGTGCGGGTGTGTTTGCTAGCATGTGAAAGTTAAGGTCTGTATGACTGGAAGGCAGTCGTTTTATCTGACAGCCACATATTCAAAGTGTCTAATTTCTTTCTGAAAACCCACTTGAAATTTTTCTTTTCAACCTTCTCATTTTCCTCACAAATTTGTATCGTGTGGTTAAATTCCTTTGAAGTACTAGATACTTTAGGATTAAAATTAAAGCAGCAATGTTTTGTTTCTTCAACTAGAGGCTCTTAAAACTTGGCAAGTACTATGTGTTCTCTCATTTCCTTGTCTTTGTGTATGCTGTGTTGTAGCACACGTCACACGGAGATGGGCGTCAAGAAGTTACCTCTCGCACTGGCCGCTCTGGAGCTTGGTGTAGAAACTCTATAGCTTCCTGTGCAGATGAACAACCTGTCATCGGAAACTACAGACTGTTGAAAACAATCGGCAAGGGGAATTTTGCAAAAGTGAAATTGGCAAGACATATCCTTACAGGCAGAGAGGTAAATACGAATTATGCTTATTTCGGTTTTAACATTGTCTTTATTTCCGTATGAGAGAAAAAAAGAATGTTTGGGCTTATTTCTAAGCCAATTAAATTTTTTTAAAGAACATCAAACACATATTGTCTGGGAGTTTTTTTGTTTTCCTATTACTTTAAATGTTGTGAATATTATATTGAGTGTTTGAATAGTCTTCACCTTTAAAAATGGGTAGTGTTTTGTTCTTTTGCAATAGTAAGTGTCTGCCACCACAGTAAAAAATTGTCTTAAACTTCAGGTATGCACTTAAGTGTATATGCTTATGGTACTTGCAAATCATTTGTATTGTGTATATTTACAGATTTATCCTCGAGGTTTCTTCCTCTCTTTCTAAATACTTTTCTCGTAGCTTATGTTTGACGGGTTATAGTGCAAGAAGGCACATATTTTCCTAACCTTCGTGGTACTGGCTTTTTGCTCAGCCTTATTCTTTATTTATGAAAATACATGCATCGGGCCAGGCGTAGTGGCTCATGCCTGTAATCTTGACACTCTGGGAGGCCAAGGTGGGAGGATTGCTTGAGCTCAGGAGTTCAACACCAGCCTGAGCAAGAGTGAGACCCTGTTTCTGCTAAAAATAGAAAAATTAGCCAGGTGTGGTGGTACACGCCTGTAGTCCCAGGTACTTGGGAGGCTGAGGCAAGAGGAGTTTGAGGTTGCTGTGAGCTAGGCTGGCGACACTGCACTCTACCCAGGGTGACAGAGTGAGATTCTGTCTCAAAAAAAAAAAAAAAAAAAACATTTAAAATCACAAAATTAACTCCTCGTCACATTCTTTTTGTGTGGTATAGAGCCTGCTTTGCTGCTTTGATGTGGTTTCTTGCAGTTACATCTTTGCACCTGCTGTTCCCTCTGCCTGAAGTACTCCCCCACCCTTCCGTGTAGGGATCATTTCTTCTGCAAAGTAGTCATTGACAGACCCCCTTCCCCAGACATAGGACTCAATAAAAATCCTGGTATTTCCCTTGTATGGCACAAATTACATTGTATTGGAATTACTTATTTGTCTCCCCGTCTGGTCTTATAGGCTACCCCTAATCTGTAGGGGTAGCCAAAAGTACTTGACGTAGTCCTCAGCACCTGTTAGGTACTTAATAAATACTTCTTGAATGAATCTAATAATACTTTTGAAGGAAGCTTTTAGAAGAAATGCTGTCCGGGCATGGTGGCTCATGCCTATAATCCTAGCACTCTGGGAGGCCTAGGTGGGAGGATCACTTGAGCTCAGGAGTTCGAGACCAGCCTGAGCAAGAGGGAGACTCCGTCTCCACTAAAAAGACAAAAATTAGCCAGGTGTTGTGGCACACACCTGTAATCCCAGCTACTTAGAAGGCTGAGGCAGGAGGATTGCTTGAGCCCAGGAGTTTGAAGTTGCAGTGAGCTACAGTGACACCACTGCACTCTACACTGCAAGGGACAGAGCAAGACTGTGTCTCAAAAAATAAATAAATAAAAATGCTCTCCCTGTGCCAGACCCTCCTGGTGGATATGCCAAGACTGTGTGATACATGTGCCATGGCATTAATGCCCACAGCCCCCCTGGCTTGGGGCTGCTGGAGCAGGAGCCCTGGGCCCGGCATTCTGCCAGCAAGCAGCCTGTTTCCAGCAGCGCGCCCCTACAGATAGTCTTGTTTTCTGTGCATGCTGGAACTTGGAAAGGGTGGAAAACACTGGTCTACACCAACTGGAATCTTAAGTAAAGACTATAACCAGAACTTTACCTCTTCACAATTCATCTCAATTTTAGTGACAAAATCTCTTTGGATTTTTAGTTAGGACTCCTTGTTGTTGAGTCACTTGGACTGCATTTGGAATCTAAACAACAGGAGTGGGTAGAGCTAGCCTTGCAGCCCTTCATCAGAACTTTCTTGAGATAAGGAGCCAAACCTCTGAGTTCAGTTCCCACCAGTTCCAGGTGGTTACTGGCAGTTTCCTTCTGTAGGCAGAGATGGTGGGCTAGCAGAGCAGTGGGGCAGACAGACTCCCTTCCCTTTTACTTACATTGGCTGGAGTCTGACTGTGTTTACTTCTAGTAGTTTCTTTCTCCAGAAATGCTTGAATATGACTAGCATAGTGGCTTAATTTAAATCTTTTCTCGGCTTTTTAAAAAACTTTGAGCAAAACCATTTTACTGGTTTTTTTTCCTATTGTAGGTACGACCCAGAATCATATAAAATATAAACATGATAGAAATTTATTACGTAGAAAGTAAAAGTTCCTTGAAATTTCTCTCTTCAAAGAAAGTCACTTTCAGGCTGGGCGCAGTGGCTCATGCCTATAATCCTTTCACTGTGGGAGGCCAAGGCAGGAGGATCTTGAGCTCAGGAGTTCAAGACCAGCCTGAGCAAGAGCGAGACCTCATGTCTACTAAAAATATAAAAAATTAGCCAGGCGTGGTGGTGCACACGTGTAGTCCCAGCTACTCGGGAGGCTGAGGCAGGAGGATCGCTTGAGCCCAGAAGTTTGAGGTTGCTGTGAGCTAGGCTGACGCCCTGGCACTCTACTCAGGGCAATAGAGCGAAACTGTCTCAAAAAAAAAAAGATATTCAAAAGAAAATCAATTGCAACAGTTTGGTGTATATTCCCACTGTTTTTTATATAGACATTAACTTTTTGTTTATTTTAACAGAAAAGGGACTCATATGGAACATAATGGTAAGGGTTTTTTTACTTAGTAATGTACCTTGACCATGTCTGGGTCTTAGTACTCAAGAGATCCAACATGCTCAGTTTAATGGCAGCGTAGTCTTCCAGTGCATGGTGGTATCATAGTTTATTTCCAGTGGGCCTTGGGGTTGTTTCTGATTTTTTTGTTATAAACAGATCTGCAGTGAACGTTCTTCTGTATAACATTGTGTGCTCTTGTTAAGAGTGTTTCTGTAGGATAAATTCCTAGAAGTGGAAGTCCTTGGTCAAAGTGGATGAATATTTGACATTGTAATAAATACTGCTAAATCAGTTTTGAAAAAAAGTGAAGTACCTAGTTTATTATCCTACCAAAATGAATGAGAGTGTCCATTTTCCTACACCCATGCTTCACTGTAGATAATGTTTGTCTGATTGTTTTAGTCTATTTTTGCTGCTATAACAGAATATGAGAGACCAGGTAATTTATAAAGAAAAGAAATTTATTTCTTACAGTCCTGGAGGCTGGGAAGTCTAAGGCCTGCATCTGGCAGGGGCCTTCCTGCTGCGTCATAGCATGGTGGAAGGACAAAGAGAGGGAGGGGAAGAGAGAGGGAGAGAAAGGGAGGAAAGAGGGCAGAGCCCTCATGGCATAATCACCTCATGAAAGTCCCACCCCTTAATACTGCTCAGATGGCAATTAAATTTCAACATGAATTTGGGATGGGACAAACATTCAAACCAAAACACGACAGACAAAAAATGGTATGAGAAAACAAAAGTTACTTTTCCCTGATAACTGCTTATATTTATGATATTTTCATGTATTTTTGCCATTCATATTTTAAGAAGTTTTACATTTTTATGTAGTAAAATTATTTCATCTTTTTCTTTATTACATTTGTGTTTCATGTCTTGATGAGAATGGTTTATTTTGTACCACAATTTAAGAAACAATACTGTATTATCTTCTGATATTCCTCCTATGGCTCACATTTGAATATTTAATCCATTTGGTATATATTTGGAGGGATTGGTATGAGGTATGGGGATCTCACTTTTTTTTTTTTTTTTTTTTTACATGTTGATTACTACTCGTCCAGGAACCATCAGTTATTTCCCCACTGATCGAAGATACCTGCTTTACCACATAATAAATTTGCATATGCGTCCTTTTGTTTCTCTGATCTGTTATTTAGTCTCATACGCATGCCATGGTATTTCTTTTTTTTGAGGCAGAGTCTTCGCTCTCTTGCCCGGGCTAGAGTGCCGTGGCATCAGCCTAGCTCACAGCAACCTCAAACTCCTGGGCTCAAGCGATCCTCCTGCCTCAGCCTCCCGGGTAGCTGGGACTACAGGCACGTACCACCATGCCCGGCTAATTTTTTCTATTTTTAGTTGTTTGGCTAACTTCTTTCTATTTTTAGTAGCGACGGGGTCTTGCTCTTGCTCAGGCTGGTCTCGAACTCCTGACCTCAAGCAATCCACCCGCCTCGGCCTCCCAGAGTGCTAGGGCCATGGTATTTTTATTACTGCCACTTTTGATTGTATGTTTTGATGTTTTGAAGTAGTCTCTTACTGATAATTCTTATTTTTCAAAATTTTCATGGTTTTATTTGCCATTTACTCTTCCAGATAAATTTATTTTGTTTTATTTTTTTGAGACAGCGTCTTGCTTTGTTATCCCAACTAGAGTACAGTGGCGGCATCATAGCTCACTGCAGCCTCCAACTCCTGGGCCCAAGTGATCCTTCTGCTTCAGCCTCCCAAAGTGCTGAGATTACAGGCATGAGACATCTCATCCGGGCCCAGATGAATTTTAGAATCAAGTTGCCATGTTCCGAAAATGGAATGTGGAATTTTGATTAAATTATTTTTGATGGAACTAGTTGGGTTTATGAATTAATTTGTGGGGAAAATGGGATATTTTAATGATACAAAGTCTTTATATCCAGGAATATAAATTGTATCTCAGATTTGTTTTCAGGGTTTGTAACTTTCTTCATCTAGGTTTTGTATAATTCTTGTTAAAATTATTCCAAGGTATTTTTTTTTTTTTACCCCTGCCCCGCCCTGCCCACCTGTTCCAAGGTATTTTATAATTTTTGTTGCTATCGTAAATGAGTTTTTTCCCCTAGCTGTTGTGAATTTGTGGAAAGGTAAAAACAGCCATATAACATCGTGTATTTGGGTGAACTCAGTCTCATTCAGAACATGGAAAATTAAGCTTATATTATTTTAAAAATTGTACATTTTTTATTTTGTTATTTAGTTCTATGAATTTTAGCTTGTATATAGATTCATGTTACCACCACCATAATCAGAATACAGAATAG